ATGGTTTAACATATTCTATATATTTTCCACAATCTAAGGTTAAAAGCCTAAAACCCTCAATTATGAGAGCTTAGATCATCTTCAGATCTCTGTGCTCAAAGCAGTCGAATTCAAAAATTTAGACCACTCATTTTATATCACGCGGCCCTATTAGCCCATCCCACTAGCTTAACTCACGGAAAAGAAGTCTTTGAACAGTCTGAATCTCTCTCTCTTGAACGGCCCAAATTCCCGGGTCTGATTATTTCGGACACAAAAATCTTAAGAGGATTTATGGAGACAAGAACAGTCATACATTGGGGTCCATTTAGAATGAGGAAATTTCAAACCTCGATCCAATATTTTTATGATTTCATATAATATGGCATGCTTATTTATATAATAGGAACAAGAATCATTTCGATTCTTCAGTTTCATGAATTTACTAAAATAGGACATGCTGTATTTATAGAGAATAAGAATTAAAACATTTCGATGAGCTCACTACTAGTTTTATAGGTTTTCTTAATTAACTCAATAATATAGTAAAAATTCAAATCATTATGTTTTGAGCACTCCATCCACATGGACCCTTATTATATTACCATCATCTTCTCTTCACTCCTCTTACATTTTTCTTTTTGTCTTTTTGTCTATATAAAAAATTAAATAAAAATGTTGACGATATGAGGCTGGGTGGGCATCGGATTAGCAGGTATATAATTGTCGGGATGCCCCAAAATATTAGGAGCATAAAAAATCCAAATGGAAGACGAGAGAAAGAAAGAGAGATTAGAATGGAAGATAATTTTACTCTTTCAAATTTTCATCCAACACGGTAAAATTACTAGTATATCCCAATTGACACGTATGAGTTACATAGCGTTCGGTTCTTGAGCTGTCGTTATCTCCTTTGGACAGCACTCCCGAATTCTTAATTCCACCTCTCTCGATGAAAACACTACGACCAGAAAACCTCATCAAGTTGACCGAAAAGAAAAAAGGCCTCTCCTCTCAACCTGTTATTCCATCTCTCTCGCAGCGGGAGTGATATTCGTTCAAGGTAATTCCAGTTCTGAAAGACAAATTTTTCAAATTTCTGGGTTTTTTTTTGCTTCTACTCTGTTAAACTCATCCGGAAGTTATTTGTTCAAAGACCAAGTTTTGTTGTTTAGTTAAAGATTTTTGGGTTTCTTTTTTATAGGAGCATTTTTATGCGACTTAATTGGCTTGTTCTCATGCATTTATGTTGTTTTTCCTTAGTTAGTTTAGTGTTTAAAGTCATTTTCGTGCAATTTCAGGTTTTAGTGTCAAAGTATGCAAAAAGAAGCAATTTGGAGCATTCTAGAGCATTTTTGGGCCAAGATTGGATAGTGCAAGCATGGAGGCATGAGGATGGACGAATTTGAAGGCTTGAATTCAGTTAGGGAGCTGCAAGGGGGCCTAAAAACCTTATTTCTAGAAGGCTTTATCTATTCACACATGGTGCCTAATTTCTGTATTGGAAGAACAAGCCGTCCTAGCTTGTCACTAGCCGTCCTAGCTTGTCTCCTAGCCGTCCTACCTTGTCTCCTAGCCATCCTAGCTTGTCACAAGCCGTCCTAGCTTGTCTCCTAGCCGTCCTACCTTGTCTCCTAGCCATCCTAGCTTGTCACAAGCCGTCCTACCTTGTCTCCTAGCCGTCCTACCTTGTCTCCTAGCCATCCTACCTTGTCACAAGTCGTCCTAGCTTGTCACAAGCCGTCCTAGCTTGTCTCCTAGCAGTCCTAGCTTGTCTCCTAGCCGTCCTACCTTGTCTCCTAGCCGTCCTACCTTGTCACAAGCTCATATCTGATTACCCTAGGGTTTTAAGTGCTTATATATACTCATATGAACCCCTAGATCAGATCATTCCCATTCATACACAATTCACACACCAATTCCAGCCTTCCCCCATCTTCACGCAGCCACCAAGACCATTCCACACCATCCTACACCTTCCACACCTTCCTACACCACCCCACAACCAATCTGCCGCAGAAGGAGAAGGGGATCGAGGAGCTTCGTCGCGCACCAATTCACGTGGATTCGTTGGGCGTTCTAGGTGTAATCAATCCTTTGTGCTTTATGTTTACATTCATTTGTAATTCTCTTTTTGTGAACATGAGAGGCTAAATCCCCCTAGTTAGCTAGGGGGTGATTCGAAACCATGGTTATACTTGCAATATGAATTGATTACTTTTGGTTGGAATTTCATGAATGTTGGATTCAATTCATTTAACTGTTTGATTGATAACTTGTTTGTGTATGTTTATTGAGAGTGCACGCTTAATGTTCATGCATGAATTTGACGCTAGAGTATAAGTGAGTTTCACCTAATAGTTATGAACTTATATTCACAAGTAGTGGAGGTTGCTTATAAACAATCGCGTTAATTGAATTCCTGGCAAGAGTATCATGCTTTTCATAGTTACAAATGCCTTGTCGATGCTTATAATTTCCAAAGAACGTAATGATTCTAACTTGTATCTTTATCATGCTGTTCATATAGAGAACTTGTTAGGAATAATTTGTTTGCGATGCATATTCATCCAATTCAATGATTCTAGGGAATTTTGAAGGTTAATTTAAGCGGACCTAATTAACTTGGAGTGTCGAATTCCATAATTTATCGAAAGACCAACTGAAAATCATTTTGTATGCAAGTGTAACATGTGTGGAGAAGAACCTTCTAGCTAGCATTCATTCCATATTTCATCACATTCATATTTAAATTCTGCCTTTAAATTACAATTTGTGCATTTATTTTATTTTCGTCAAAATCTCAATCCCCCTTTACTTTAGTGTCCAATTTAGTTAGAAAGTGTCTTAGTTTGTGTTTATAAGTGTTTTGTATTATTTGAGTCTTTTGATTTGTTTTTGTGTTTTATTGTTTAGTTTTGCATTCTTTGAGTCTAGTTTAGTGTTTCAAACTTTATTTTACGTTTTTGAGTTAGTTTCCAAGTGATTTTGCAATCCCTCCTAATCTCCGGTTAAGAACGATCCCTACTTATTCATATACTACAATTGTCACAAGAGGGTTTTAATTTGTGTGCTTACTTAGTTCGCATCACTTTTTGCTTCATTTCTGTTAAATTACTCATCTTGAAGTTAATTTTGTTCAAAAACTGAAGTATTCTTCTTCAATTAATCTTACAAGAAAGCATATGAGAAGGTGGCACACTAGATGTTCGATGAAAAGTGTCAATATTTCAATTTCTAATTTCTGCGTATATAATTTGTGGCGAAGCAGAACGAGTAAAGCCAGTAGCTGTGATTTATGAAGTGGAGGATTGGATGTGTTGATGTGTGGCATGCTCTAATTAGGTACATTTTTGTGTAGTAAGAAAGCCAGAGAGAGAGAGAGAGAGAGAGAGAGAGAGAGAGAGAGAGAGAGAGAGAGAGAGAGAGAGAGAGAGAGAGAGAGAGAGAGAGAGAGAGTCGCGTTTTTGTTTTTGTTTTTTTCGGGATTGGTTTAATGTTTCAGTCGTAAACTTGATTAAGCAATGAAAGTTGAGGACATACAAGTGACACATGTACTTGGGAATTTGTAAGTTACATGCAAAGCTCATGGAAAGTAAGCTTTTTGTAATGTGTCTAATGACATGGTCAAAGAGTTGTCCACCTAATGTCTACTCAACAACGATTGTCTTCGAACACTGTTGTCACATTTTGGGGGAGAAATTTCAAAGTAAGGTGTTAATGTCTGACCTAAGATTATATTGAAATTTCGAAGTAAAACGTTTATTTCATTGTTTCTTTTTTTATATGGGAAAACATTTACTATTGAAATTTTTCATGGTGCTTTGTTTTGTAAAAGATTCAGGTTGGCATCGTTTTTCAAGTTTTGTCTATGCGTTTGTTTGTAGGATCAAGTTACAAACATTGTCAATTTGTTTGTTGAAGTATTGCAGGTATCTGCACGACTCCAGCCAAAGATAAACTAAAGAACCAAGAAGCACTTCAAAGAAACAAAGTCACTTGTTTTGGCACACCATCTAAAAAATTATGGTGGTGACGGAAAATTCACAATCGGAACTCGGTAAACAAAGCAAAATGAGGATCTTGTCTCACGGTTTAGAACAGTTCAATTTTATCACTGTATCTTTGATCCCGGCAAAAACTGTGGCATGTAAACTGAACCTTCTGGGTCACAAATCACAATTCGTAGTCTTGTTTATTAGGAAGTTCAGTACACGAATTTCCTCATTTATCGTACAATTCAAAAGCTTCAGATCTTTGACTACTCAGCTTTATGCCTTTCGTGCCTGAAGAGACGATACATCAATGACAATATCCAGTGCCAAAAGACGATAAATCAATGACAACAGCCAGTGCCAAAGATCTACTCTGGCTTTGCCTCGCCTAAATAGCGCCTTGACATTGTTTTCATCCTCTGCCAGCACCCGCGAGCATTCATTCATCCAATTACAGTTAACACAGTTGCATTGACAATTTAAGGGTATTGGGGGTTCGGAAAAACCGAATCCCTTTACACTTTATAAATGTATGCCCACGATGTTTCTTTTGTAAAACTTTGTTGTCAAGTTTGAAATTAGGCCTAGGGCTTTTTCAAGGAGCATATGCTTGGTTCAATTAGAGATGATATTTCATTGGTTATGGAGGAAAGTTTTGAAAGAGCTTATCTATTTGTTTGTCTTTTAAATGGGTACGGTGATCATTTTTGTTTGCAATTGAGGTTGTTAATAGAATATGATTGGTTTATATGATATTGTATATGTAAACTACCTTCTCACTTTACCACTTTTCCTATTTTATTATTATTATTATTATTTGAACAATCGATATTATCATTTTTTAATAATCGATATTATATACACTAAGGAAAATTAGTGGACTAGTCTCGCAATGGACTAGCAATAATGTTGTTCAACTTCGCATTTAACGAAAATCAAACCTAACATTTATCATTTATAAGTGAAAAAAAATATCAAACCTAACATTTATCATTTATAAGTGAAAAAAAATATTACATCGTATGACATTTCCAAGTTTGGATGTGTTCTTGCTCATAAAAACCCCTTAATCTTAATTAGTATATCTGAGCACGGTGAGATTTTTGTATAATATTTTTTTTTTAGGGTTTGTGGGTTTTAGACATTTTTCTGTGAAAGCATTAATTTTTGTATGATTTTTTATTGTGGGTTTCGATTATTTGGTTATTAATTTGGGTATTTGAGCTGCTGGATGCTCGGAGCGGGAATCTTTTCTGCCCATTCCTCTAAGGCAGTCCGCCCTAGCCATATTCCATTCGGGATCTTTTTCTGATGGAGTTTGTGATGTTTTGCGAATAGGGTTGAAATCCATTGGCTTGAACACAATGGCATCATCAACAGTATCCAGTAATTCCCGGGGATCAAAGTCTAATAGCAATAGGTGCACTAATTATCAAACCCTAATTTTAACTGTTAGGATCATTACGGATTTGGGTATTTTTATAAAATAAAAAAATTTAAAAAATTGCGTTGCTTCTACGTGCTGTATATTGGCTGATGTTCGGAGTATTTTTTGTATTGTTGACCACGTCGGCTTGGTTTTGTTTGCTACGATTGGTGAGGCTTATGTTACTGTTGATGGGTTTGGTTAACAGGGTTTTCATTCCTTTTCAGATTTGTTTCAACACACACTACTTGAAATTTGCAGGATGCTATGGTGATAGTTTTTATGATCTAATCAAATGAACTATTTAATGTCAGTAGTTTGAGGGCTCCGACTGCAACACACAGCAGCAGCGATGGGGAGGAGAAGCGGCACCAGGTGATGTAGAACCTATTCGGTGATCAATCTGAAGAGGAAGAGGAAGAGGTCGATTCCGAACACGAGTCCAATCCGCAGCCCAGTTTTGTACGATCCTCTAATTTCAAGTTTCCTTTCTATTCTGATTCCAAAAGCATGTTTGGGAATGAGTAGGGTTTCAATTTGTTCTGTAATCTTAGCCGAAAGAAGCTATAGGTTGTGCTTTTGTTAATGGCGGTGGATGATTTGGATGAAAGTATGTATCTTGGGGATTTTTTTTTTGCTTGCAGTTGTTTAGGCCTGGACTGAAGAAGTATTGTGGAATGAGATTCTTATGAGTAGTCAATTTTAGTGGGATTGTTGTTTCAATCTGGATAAAGAATGATGTCGTTTTCCTATTCGGTCTGTCCTTTGATGGTGTAGCAGATCTGGAATTTTGTGAAATGCTCTTTCTGATTAGAAATATAGAATTGGTTTTAAATCATTTTCTTAACTGTTTGGTTCTGATGTGCTTTACCGATAAATCAAGGGTTTGCAAGATATTTTTTTGTTGTTCTCTTTAAATGGTGGGTGTTATCATTTTCTCTCTTTTTTCATATCTGTCTTGCCATTGACTGGGGATGTGGGTGATACTGCTACCCTGTACGCCGCAGTACAGGGCTGTAACAAGATTATCTATTGTGCTACTGCACTTTCTACTATCAGCGGAGACCTCTACAGGGTTGATCAAAGAGGGGTCTTCAATCTTACTAAAGCATTTCAGGTGTGATCCTTATTGCCATAGCCTTGAAATACTCTTTTTTGACATTTAGTAATCTGTTTTGGTTTTGATGTCGTTTAAGTTCATGGGTTGGTTCAATGTTGGATTTAAATTTTACCGTTCGAGAGTTGCTTATGTGAAGCTTTTGACTGTTTGCATTGCAGGACTACAACAACAAAATGGCGCAATTACGAGCTGGAAAGAGTAGCAAGAGCAAACTTACAATTGTAAAGTTCAAGACTTCGGAGTCAGTGGATGGATGGGAAGTTTGTCATGGGACTTCCTTTCAGGATGCGGTTGCTTCTAAGTATGATGGAGGAATGGATGCCAAGTTCGAATGCACTTTCACCGGAGATGCTGTTTCCTCCTGCAAGAGAAAGACTAAAGTGGGGTTTTGAGGTTCTAGATGGAAACCAACTATTATTCCTTTTACTCTATTTCTTGCTGCATTGTAGGATATGTTTTCACCAGAGGAGGGTATGTTGCACAGCTTCCCAAAATGAAATTCATGGTATTTTTCTTATTATTAATTACAAGATTTGGATAAAGAAAATTCATGGTATCCTTCTTATTATTAATTAGAATTTGAACACAAAATGAATTCATTTGATAGAAAATCATTGGCAACAGAAATTACCTGATGAATTTGCCGCGCAGCTGCAACATTCTAGCAACATTTCGTGAATTTGAGAAGCAGCTGTGCAAGTTCAGTTGCGTTCTGTTTACTTAATTTTCTGTGTTTTTTCTTTTGCTGTTTGGATTTAGGAGCTAAAACATTTTTCTTTTGCAATATTTTTAGGTGGATGATGCGATCTGGGCTGCTGAAAATGCCACATTGAAAGCGGAGATGAGTGGAAAGAAGCTAATGCACTCATGGAACAACTTAAGCTCAACCCTCAGCTTCAGACGTTTCAAGCGTGGCTTTGGGATTCTGCAACTGTGAGTATACACTCTTTCCCGGGTTTAAGGACTATCAAGGTGCTTAGGGTTTGCGTTCGGTGTTTGAATTAAATAACTTTGGGTTAAACCATTCTGTAATATCAGTAGGTTTGTTTTAGGTATCTTATGGTTTTAGAATTGCTTGTACAAAGGATTATTATGGCGACGAGATCATGTCGCTCTGGGAAGCTCTTTTGATGGTCGCTGTTGTTGGAGTTATATTAAAAAGAAATATTTAAAGAGGGCTGGAACCCAGTCAAAGCTAGGGGGCTAGGCCCTCACGCCCATATTATATTACTGAAGAAAAAACATTACAACAGGGGGGACATAGTACCTGAACCCCGATGATTAAAAAAAAAAAAAAAAAAAAAAAACATAAACAACCACTCCAAGCAGTCAACATGGCCATCACATATTGAATCCAAAAGGTTGAGGCCCCATTCGCTGCATATAAGACTATAATTGAAAAGAAGGAAATTAAAGAGAGATTAAAAAAAAAAATTGAAGTTAAAAAGCATGGACGACGGAAACTTTGATCCACATGGTAACGTCATTTGAAAAGATATAGTAAAATGCTGGTGATGATGAATGAAGAATAAAATTAAGAAATGAGATTGGCATTTGAATATTTCGTAGTTTATATTGAATTAGGCTAGTGTGAATTGAAACAAGTTAGAAAACGCACCTTAATCAATGTCAATGTGTGGGATGTGAGCAATCTTAGGCCAGTCCTCACCTGTTTTTTTCTTGTATCTTTCGCTTAACATGGGGCATTGCCGAATATCCAGTGTATTTAAACAGGGGAGTCCACGAATCCCTTCTGGCAGTGAAGTTAGATTAAGACAATTCCTGATCTCCAATGTAGAAAGACGAGGAAAAGAAGGCAACGACAGATTTTCCGTTGATGAAGAAGAAGAAGCACTGTTATGAGTGTGGGCCCTCCACCATCCCTTCAGAACAGGGCAATTGTATAACTTGAGTGTCTCCAGGGAGGGAAAGAATGGGATCCTCATCATCTCATCACTCATACTATTACTGCTCTCATTCTCTGATATGTACTCCAACTTCTCCAAATTCCAAAGATGAAGAGACTTAAGGGAAGGCAAATGATCCAAGGGTGGAAGATGTTGGCATCTCTTACATCCACCCAATCGGAGATTAACAATATTTATGAGAGAAGAAAACCAACTCGCAAACCTCACACCATTATAGTCATACACGGACAACTGCTTTAGATTAGAATGGGGTTGCAATACTTCCATTGACTTTATAATATCCTCCTCATCAACTCCCCTTACATCTTCTCCATATTTCCACCTTAATTGCAACTCATCAAGGTGTTTGTCCTTGAGAGGTGTACCAACATTTGATTCTGACACCACATGCCTCAACTTATCAATTTCTAAATGTCCCCTTAATTCCTTAAGGGTCCCCAGCTCAGCAAGACCAGCACTACCGCCCCTCCCCAAACAATTGCTTTCGCTCAAAACAAATCTATTCAATGTACGAACACCATTCAATTCACCAATTCCACGTGGCATTCCAGTCACTTTCCAATAGCCTTCCAAGATGAGATGCCTTAAGTTGATCATTTTTTTAATGTCTCTAGGCAATTCCACAAGCCTATCACACCCACTGAGATCTAGTGTTTCCAAATTCGAAAGTCCAACTATCCAATCTGGAAGTCTCTCCATGGGATTCCCACTAAGATCAAGATATCTCAAATATTTCATTTTTTTAAGACATTTAGGTACTCTTTTAATTTGCAATTTATTGAGACTCAACATACGCAATGACTTAAAATTTGAAACAATTTTAGCACAAAATGAATCACATAATGACCCACCTCTTTTTCCATAAGGCTTTTGCCAAGTAAAAAGAAAAGTTCGTATCTTGTTTGCTTTTAGCAAGGATGTTGGCACTTCCCATTGCGACAAATCAATATCAAAATTGAAAGATACGTGATGAAGCTTTTCATGAAAATTCTCTTGGTTCATATTAACTACGACGCTTCTGACCCTCGACACTAAGATTGCAAGTTCATTCATGAGATCGTGCATTTTACATCTTACTATCATACCAAACTCATTTGTTTTTTCTTCTTGAAAAAACGATCTCTGCAACAACTCCTTGTAATATTCATATGCAACATCCTCCAAACCCTTGTTTTCATCAGTTGACTTAATGAACCCTTGCGCCACCCAAAGTCTAATCAATCTCTGTATAGAGATCTTATAATCAGGTGGGAACAAGCTACAATAAGCAAAACAATGCTTCAAATGTGATGGGAGCACATCATAACTCAATTTAAGTGTTGGAAAAATATCATTTTCTTCTTGACTTATTTTTGAAAGTTCCTTTTCTTTGAAATTCAACCAATCAGTTTCGTCATCTTTGGTGAACAACATCCCACCTATCGTCCTTATAGCGAGTGGCACTCCTTGACATTTTCTTGCAACCTCCTCCCCAACTGCCTTAATTGTTGAATTCTCTGGCTGCTTTCCATCTTTATAAGCCATTTTCTTAAATAAAGACCAACTTTGCTCTTCATTCAAACCCCTTAAGGTGTATGATTTAGCTGCGTCTGATATTGTCGCAACGGTTTTACTACGAGTGGTTATTAGTATTCTACTACCTTCTCCACCACCCATTAACAAGTTCTTCAAGCTAAGCCACTTCTCTCGATCCTCATTCCACACGTCATCCAACACAAGTAGGTACTTCTTCCCATCTACTTTTTTTCTAAGATCATTTTGCAACTGCTCAATCTCATCATGATTTTTGGATTGAAGGATTTTCTTAACAAGTATATCCAACTCGAATACGTTAGAGACACATGTCCATATTTTCAACTCAAAATGATTTTGAATCACCTCATCGTTGAATATGAGTTGGACAAGTGCAGTTTTCCCCAATCCTCCAAATCCAAATATGGAAATGGTTGACACATTCTCAGTTGAGATGGGATCCAACAAAAGTTGGATAATTGCCTTTTTATCTTCATCTCTCCCTATAATATTTTCCTTGGGGACAAATGAGTGAGTGGCCCTCTCTCTCATTACAAATCGTGTATCTTCACGATTTACTTCTAAGTGAAGGGGTCTACGATTTGCAACCTCACTCAGCCTTTTGTTAATATCTTTTATCTTATGACCCATCTTCAGCCCAAAAACAAGTTGATTTGAGTTAGAAAAAAAAAGGCCCACCTGTAAGAATTTGAATAAACATAATCATTAATATGATAGAACTGTATTAATTAAGTTCTTCTTGGCACATTTATATATTATTTTGGTACGTTTATATTTATTTAAAAAAACGTATTTGGTATGTTACTTTATATATCTTCTTGGCACGTATTTGGTACGTTTAAATATATTATTTGAACGTACCAGCCTCAAGCCTCAGAAAATAGAGAATACGTCTAATTATCTCACATGATATCAATATAAAATAGTGAAAACAACCACTAATTGAAATGGATAAGTCCATTCAAAATTCAAAAATGAGGATCATAGAATTCTAACGTGGGAGAAGAAATCATACGACTCAAACATGGGAGAAGAAACTGGCTTCCTAAAAAAAAAGGCCACGTACATAAATATATCAACCTAAAGGGATATATATGGAATTTAATAATTAACATTCTAAAGTAAAAAAATACAATAATTACATGTAATCTAAATAAATATAAAAATACGGACATGACTATTGTTTAGGCGTCATAATCAAATTTCAAAATAGAACCAATGTTTAATCTAAAGAGTATTATAAAAGTACAAGAGTTTCTAATTTTCCCAAAAAAATATGACAATAAAGAGAGTCTAGCAGCATTCAAAACAATTGCAATTGTACCTATTACATATATACGGAAGGTATAATTGTAGTTTTTTTTTTTTTTTTTGGACTAAGGAAGGTATAATTGTAGTTACTTGTTAAAAGAAAGTACCCATACAATTGCCATATATAATTATTAATTATGGTCCAATTCCTACATCCTCCCAAAAGTAAATTGTTTTCATATGTGTACACCCCAAAGTTTTTTTTTTTATAAAAAAAAATGTACCCTTATAGTTAGATACAAATTTCAAAACAATGTACCCATTTAGATTTAAAAAAAAAAAAAAAAAAAAAAGGAGGGCATCCATAAGCGTTCTAGCAAATATAATGGACCCATGATTATTAATAAAAGATTGTTAATTCAGTCAAACGAAAAATGAGATGAAACTATTGGGACGTATAAAAATTCATATTTTAATTTCAAATTAAAGGCATGTTAGGGATATCTAGCTGCAATAAAATCCCTTAAATGATGTAAATGATCAATTATCCTAAACGGAAATGACATAAAAGGAAATGAATAAATGAGTTTTTTAAATAAAAAGAAAAGGAAAATCTGACATGGAATTTGATTAATTTTAAGAATTTGACATGGACATAAGTCAAAGGCCTTCAAACAAAAATTTAAAACTAAAAATGTTTCATCAATAAACATTAGTGACTTGGGATCAGACTTAATTATCCCCATTTTTTATTTTATAACCCATTTTTAACCCAGTAACAAGTTCATTTGAGCTAGAAAAAAAAGGCGTAAATATAAGAATTTAGGTAGACATATCATTAGGTCGATAGAATTGTATTAATTAAGTTAATAGAATTTTGTAATGCTAAGTTATATTAAACATTCAAAACAATAATGTTGGGGATTTATGACAATTCATTATGAGTTATTGAGAGACCTATTGTATTCCTGATAAGTAGATATCAATAGGCTTATGTGATTATAGAAAGGTTCTACGAAATGCATCCTCACCAAGCTTCTTGTTAGTATCTTTTATCTTATGATTCATCTTTAGCCCAAAAGCAAGTTGATTTGAGTAAGTTAGAGAAGAAGATGCGTACCTTTTTTGACACCTTTGTATTTATTTGTCTTTGTTGAGCTTTAGTATTAAACTCATCCAGCACGTCATCGGCTTCATAGACTACATCTTCTACGCTTTGGAGCCACAATTTGACTTCATTGTTGGCTTGCTTTTGCTCAGCGTCAAGAAGAACAGCTTGGAATGCTACAACTGTCTCCTTAAGCTTCTGGAACTCATCTTGGACACCCCAGATCAATCCAATCTGTTGGAAAGCAAGGGAGCCTAGCCTTCCGATGATCCCTTCTGCAATGTTGAAGAGAACTCCTTCCGCCATTTCTTGTATTCAGTACAAGCAAAGACACAAGTGAAGCGAATTAAGGTAGAAACTTGTAACTGGGAAAATGGTTTTGCATAGTACAAGATGGCTCGTCCTTGCTCATCTTTGTATGCCCACTCATCCAGCCACTCATACGTCATTCCATGAATAAATTAAAAACAAAGACTTGTGACCAATTCACTAATGCCGGCCTGGTCCCTAACGTTTAGTTGTATTTTTTAAACCCATCTGCAATTTCATCAGTTCGTGAAACACTATTATAAATGGACCAAAACCAAATACACGCCACCTCCAATATACATTGAATTAATTGCACTTTCATCCAAGTACCCATACACCACTCCATACATAAAATAAAAACAAAGACTTGTCACAATATCACTAATGCCGGCTTGGTTCTTAACGTTATGTTATATTTTCAAAATCCATTTGTAATTTTATCGGTCCATGAAACATTAATATAAATTGATCAAATTAAAATACACACCACCACCAATATATCATGAATTAATTGAGCTTTCATCCATCAACTCACGCATCATTTCATAAATAAAATAAACATATTAATAAAGATGAGATGCTGGAATAACAATAAACAACACAACGAACACGTATGATTGAAAGTTTACTTTTTAAACACACTTGCAATTTCATCAGTCTCCAACATGACCAATACTAGTTTATTCATCCACCCTAATGTAAATATAGATTTTATATAGCTAGACGAGAAATGCTAAAAGGATTCTCTTAAAAATGACACACTCATAACTTTATATCATCTCATATTTTTTGCATAATACTATATAATGTTGACGCAATTTTATCGGG